TACAGATCATGGAAACCTTTTGCGGGGAAGGAATCCTTCCACTTTCCAGGAACCTCGAAGTGAGGTTTCGTCGATTGGCTTCCGGCGACCTTTCTTTTATTTCAGACCGCCGATCCCTTTCAGAGAAAAAAAACTCACCTCGACGCTGATTGCTAAAAAATATAGTAATTCCCTTCTTGCGCCCAGGAAAAGAAAGATATCGAATGCCAGAGGCCCTAGTATACTTTGTGGTTCCTCCATCGCAGTTTCACTTTGTTCGAAGAAAGGAAAGTGACTGCAATGAGCACCGAGGCTATTATATTCGTCGCAGGTATAGACTGTGAAGCTGCGGATGAGATAAATTTTTCTCTCAGCTTCTTATCCCTTTGCAAATAATCGTCTTATAATAATCGCTGTTAAAGGATGTAAAATTTTGGCTTAGTTTGGTATTTAGAGTTTTAGAACTTGTTATTGGCAAATACTTTAACCATTATATCTTCAAAAAGGTACTTTTAGATTAGATTCGAGTTTTTCGAGAGAATATAACACAGGTATAAAATCCTTAAGAGCAATTTTGTTTGTAACATTAAATTTACAGTTTTAACAATTTCAAAGAATTTCTCTCACCAGTCATTAAACGATGGTAAGAAAAAATTTCTTTTACCAAAATTTATTTATAGCCCACCCGCGCGAAATTATCATCAGCTGAAAATTCTATAAAAACCCCTAAACGACCTTCCATATTGAATTTCTCCCTTCTTGCGCGAATCATGTTATAAACTTTTTTACCTATACCTAGTTTTTCTTGTTCCTTTATTAAACAGGATTAATCAGCGGTCGGCCTTAAAGTTGCTCGCTGCGGAGTTACTCACTGGCAATGAAAGAGAGATCGCAAGAAGAAAAATATTTCTCGGTGCGAAAATTGAAAATAAAAGCCTCGTTACAAGCCAATGGTGTATCGAGTTTCGTGATCCGTTCAAAGATGATACTCGCGTGTGTTTAAAGCCCCCCCGCGTATATAAGACGTACCCGGGGCAAATGATTTTTCTTCGGGGTAATACTGTCGAGATTTCTCGCTCCGATAAATTTATATACATATAAGACCTTGATATATATACCACCAGATTCTACATACGATGATGATCAAAGAATCGAAATCGAATCCAGTCAGATGATGATAAGTCTTTGCGTTCTTTTTTGCGGTATTGGATTTTGCCACAGAAGAGCCAAGGAAGGGTGTTTTTTCGTTACAGAATCAGAAAGTAGCAAGAACATGAACCGAGAGAGAAAGAGAGAAGGAACCGAAAATTGGATACTGGTGGGGATGATGAGACCAACATAATGACAGGGTGTCTCGCGCCACGAACCGGCTCCAAAATATCAAGAGGTCCCCAGCTAGATGGCGACGTATACACTGTATTATTTCAACTTTTCTCAAATCGGGGCCAACTTCATCAGAAATCATTGCGGAATTCATATAATCAGAAGACGGTTACGATTGCACGAAAAAGCAACACTATAAAGTTCTATCACTCCTGACTTCATCTCCTGATGCCAATGGCTCTTATATCCCAAAGGGGTAATTGTCCCTCAACTAAAAAAAGCCTTCCAATTATAGAGTCGTCATTTTGCACTCCTAAAAACATAGTGATTTTTATCAACGATTAGGTTTTTTGCTTTTATTGTACTCTAAGCCAAGTTCGTTCACCTATATATTTTGCTCAAGAATGATTTTTCACAAGAAAACATTTTTTACAATTTAAAAAAAAATTTTAATTGAACTGACAAAATAACAATTATAATGTCTGAAAATAAGGTGAATTACAAATTATTTTTTTTATCAGCGTTTATATAACGAACTTTAGAAAACTGTTATTGCGTCACTTGGCAAATTACGTCTAATAAACAATTCTCAACCTGATTATATACTCTCGCAATCGATTTATATCAATAAGAGTTGACACAAAAATGAATTTTCCAAATTCCCTGATTAAAGAATTTGATGGCACAAAATGCCCTCAATCTTTTTTTGATATGAGGAAATGCAATTTTAATTCTGTCGAAACATCATCGATTACCAAACTAAAAGAATCTAGTACATCTCGATAACTCGACGATCTTATGGTATGGTCGCACATAAAAATTCCCCTTGGATCAGGAAACGAGTTAAAGAAGTGAAAAAAAAGGAACGACAAATTGTCACAGATTTCACTTGATGGGCAAAAGGTATATATATATATATATATACAAATAGAATGCATGCAGTTTGTTTCGATCGATGAATTTCCACACGGCTATTTGTCACTCGATTACCTGCGTGGCATCAAACGTTCAGTTCGACATTCCTTATTTGTAATAAGATTCCGTAAACGAGTGTTTAACTACCCGGGGGTATAAATTACTTAGGAGTGTTGCTCACACACACACACACACACAAAGATGTTAACGAAAATTCTCAAGTGAAATCCTAGAAATTGTGCATTTTTCCGAAGAAGGGAATGAGATCGATTCCGAATCGGGCAAATGTCGATGATCTGTATAAAACGTCTCCCCTGGGGAAAGAAGATCAACCTGGTTCCTGTCAATATATAAGTATAAAAGTAATACTGACAACAGGTACACGCGTTATCTCGATAATTAGAGGCTTTCTCCTCCAGCAAAATATCGATGTCGAAACTTCAAAGAACTGGTTCTCAAATTCTGGTTCATGTCAACGGTTTCAACTATATATATATATATAGAAGATAAGAAGCTGACGATCTCCAATATCATTTGAGGTGTAATTAATCTTGGAAATAAACATGAAGCACGGTGACGAAATAACAAACAAAATTAAGGAATTTTCAAAATATTTTTCTTGCAAAGTTACTCTCGATGACAAGAAAGATACAAATAATCTTAAAAATTTATTACAACATTTAAACTAAATATCATTGGAATATTAAAATTCCTAAAAAGAAAGAAATTGAGATAAAATTGAGAATATTGGGCGTAATTTTGCGGAATCCGTGATGTATGATCCAAATATCTGTAAATCTATATATGAACTCTATCGATCTATAAATCAATGATTTATGGATCCAACTATTGATCCTAGCTCTATTTGCTTGATATATAAATCATAAATGTTGATCAATACAACCTTAGATCCTTAATAGATATTACACCACAGTTTATATTGATCCAAAGATCAAATATAGATCCATTGATCTATAAACCAGTTTCTTTTTAGAAAAATTGTTTTTTGATTCAAAATTCTAAAAATATCACTCCTTTCTATAAAGGAATTATTTATACATATATTAAATAAAAAAAGAACGCAAAATATAATAAACACTTTAGCTTTCGATATATAATAATTGCGATATTCGAATTATTTGATCAGAGTGCATAATTGATTTACAACCGTTGAATCTTAACAAAGACGTCCTAAGCTGTGTTCGCTGTTTCAATCGGAACATCCTAGGGTCGAGTTGATCTCACGAAGGGATAAGGACGTTCGCGATTCACGAGAATCCCGCGGGGTTAGGAAGTGTACCTTACCTGTATATAAACACACACATACCTAGGACACGACCGATCGGGTTTAGTCATCCTGAATATCCAAGGACCGCCTACGGTCGACCTCGTGATCCAGTTTCCAGTGAAATATGTATATATCGAAGAACTCGATAACTTTCAAGGCGTCTATCTTCGATCTGCATCCGATTCCATTCCCACTATATATACGCGCATCGATCGTCTCATTTATCCCGCATTTATTCTCGAATGCGATCATCTATTTTTCGTTGGTAGCAATTATTTGAATACACTGAAAACAGAAAATAAATAATTAAACAAATTTGATAAGAAAATCAACCCACAAGAAAATCAAAATTTATTTCTTTGATTCAAAGAAATTTTTTTTTCTTCACTGTATAATATATAATGATATACGTCGGGATTAATTATTTCAAGAATTGGTTGAGAATAATTGCTCTGTCGCTCGAATTAATCACTAATTGCTTCTCCGGTATATTTTATATATATGAGATAGGTGTCATTTATGGCTTATGAATGCGTTGCATTTGTGGTGTGTTGCATGCCTTAGCAAAGAACAACTTGATATTATTGCCTCTGCTGGAGTGCCGCACGCACTACCACGACCTTCGGGAAACCACTTTTAGCGTGATGGAATTCAAAGAAAAATCAACACGTCGATCTTCACACCTAAAATGATTTCTGGAACTCACCGAATTTATTCTTTTTTTCATCTTTTCAACTTCATTATATGCCTGCATTCTTGTCAATTTATATTTACATGTTAATATAATTATTTGAAGAAAAATTAAAAACATTTTCTTCTTTTGAATCAAAACAAAAATTCTAATATTAATTGTTTTGATTTCAAGAAGCTTTTTTAATTCAAAGATGTATTTGTCTCAGAGCCAAATAAATATTTTCTAAATAATAAAATTAAATTTTTAGTACAAATCAAAAATTTATTGCTCGACAATATTATATACATGGAAAATTGTGTACTTATAGATAGATGTTTAAAAATACAAAAAGAAATTTATATAGAGTCGAATGGCTACTAATGAAGTTGAAAAGCGAAAGACATCAATTTATATCAACAGCTTTGCTTGAGAAATATTAACAGATATTAAAGTTTATTCTTATATTTGAATGAAAATCCCGACTTGATGAAATAAGAATGTGAAAAAGTGAACTATGATCGATATCCCCCTTTTCTTTAACATAAAAGGGATTAACGTCAGGATCTTCCAGATTATTATCAAGATTGAGATCTTTTGATAGAATTGTTGGAAGCTATACAGGAATTCCATTCTCGTAAATGGATATAGCTGAATATAAAACAGCAAATATATGTGCGTGGATTTTCGAACACGAGGAGTCATCTTACGACGAGCTCCTTAAATTCAATCAAAATACAATCAAGACAATTCTTTTCGTTTGGTAAAATAGCTATATAATTTGAAAATAACAACAACTTTCAAGAAATTCAAGAAAAATTGTAATAAATTTTCTATTTCTTTATTTAATATTTGCTAATAATTATAATCAATTACAATAATTTTAATTACATAAAATTATTTATATATAAATCATAAGAAAAAATAATTGAAAAATCAGGACAGATTTAAATAATATTAATTAACTATAAATATATTCTGTTATTATATACCTTTAATTTTTTAGCAAAAAAGAATTAAAGATTGACACTTTGAATATATTTTCCTAATTGCCTAGAAATGCCTTGGGCATTAAGGCTTTTTTTTGTCACTTTTGGCTTTTTTTCTTTGGTAAATAGGTCTCTTTTTTCTAACTATCTTATATTTTTACGGTGTTGTTTATTTTAATTTTTTCTTTTTTTACACATTTGTTCCTCTTCTAAAGCTTCAATAGCTGGAGAATCAGTTGAATGATGGCGTTTTTTAGAACTTTCAGTTGTTTTATTTCCATTTTCAAAATTTTTTTCTAAAGATCTGTCTGCAAGATTTATAGGTATCACTTCTACATCATTTTCAATGTCAATATGTGAAGGGCCTGGAATAATTTCTTTACAATTATTACTCTCAACTGTCACTAAATTGCTTTCAATTGCAACATTTTCAACTCCATCCATTGGTAATAATGAAGGCAAAAATTCTTTGTCAGAAAAAATATCTTTATTAAATGGCGATATTCCTGCAACTCGAAAACCAGCAGTTATATTTGCATGAGTTATAGCTGATGGTAGTGCAGTTGCAATTAATTTTGGAATGTCTTGAATTGACAATGTTTTATCAGAATTTTTTGTTATCCAAGTATCACAAGCTGAGTTCATGTATTTTTTTAATGCCCGAGCTAAATTATTTGCCTCCGGAGTTCGAATTGACAATTTACTGTGACGTTTCATAAATGATGAGAACCAATCCTCACCCGCCATTTTATTGTCTGTCCAATTAGCTGGGAATTTTATTTTCAAATAAACAGCATACTCATAAGCAAAGGTTCTAACTTCTTTTGGTGACAATCCATGATAAATATTACTTGCTTGTAACAAATATTCTTCGAGTAACTGTTCCTGCTCATCACTGAAAATCTGAAAATAAATAAAAATTGTTAAATAAATAAAAAAATAAGTCAGTGTATAAATAGAAAATTAATAAGAATAAATGTAACAAAAAAAACTGTTCCTGTTATCAACAATAAAGTTTATAGATCATTATTTTAAAATAATGTAAAAAATTACTAATAAAATATTAAATAAATAAAAATCAAAAATCTGTTTCAAATCGTGAAAATAACAACAAAGATTATTTATAAAGAATTAATAAAAACTATTGATTTAGACTTAAACGAATATGTAGATAAATGGAACACATTTTTTAGGTTATCTAAAAATAATTAAAATAAACTTATATTCTACCTGGCCTGGTTTCCTAATATTAATTTTTATTTGAGGACTTTCATCCGATTCCTTGAATTGTGTGTCCTTTACTTTGTTGCAAAATCTTCGTAAAGTTGTTTGTGCTATATTAAAATTTTTCGCTGTTTCGCGAATGGGTTTTCCATTTATTTTGACTTCTTTTACAGCTCTTAAAATAGTGTCTGACGACACTGGCACTCTCTCAGTCTTTCTTTTGTAATTTCTCATCACTGATATATGAGATGTGTTTACTTTTTATAAAATAAAATTTTAACACTTAAACTATGTTGATAATTTTCTATTATGTTTGGTGAATTAAATGATAACAAGTAGCCGCAGAACCACTGAAGCACACGGAATCCCACAACACTCTATCGATATAGTAGGTTTAGTTAACCGGGTCAATACACCCCGGCTAAAACGCGCTAATTAACCCCGGAGGTGTTTGTCGATTATTTACTAATAAATAATTAATCAAGAATTTCTTTGTCAAATTAAAAAATTAATTGTACCAAGTGTATTAATTTAAGTCAAGAGAAAATCAGCTTATTATACTTCTGACAAATATTTTAGTCATATTGTGCAAATAAAAATATTTTTGTATAAAGAATTTAATTTAAGTCTGTCAAACTAGATAGAAATATATCAAGTATATGTATAATATACTTTCCTTAGCCAAAATGTTTAATTTTAAATTAAAATCATAGAAAATTTTAGTTTTCAATAAAAAAATACAGGATTTTTAACCATGTTACTGATTTTTATGAATCAACTTTTATCGAATGAATTGATTTAAAACATAAAATTAATTACGTTTTTAACCAACAAATATAAATTATTAAGTGGAAAAATCACCTTTTCTCCAAAAAACTTAATTTTCAATTAAAACATTTCCATTTCACAAATAGAACTAAGTTTTTCTGTGAAAAGTATATTCACATTGACAAAAAGAACAGAGACAATTATTACAAGCGCCAACCGCAAATAACATAATAATTTCCAACAGAACACAAATAAATTCATGAACAATATAAAAATAAAAATATACTTAATTTCATGTAATTACTCAACAATTAAATAAATAGTGAATTCTTTTGCAAATGTCAATAAAATGAAACAATGAAACAAGGAAAAATCAAATCTAACCTGTACAAATAGAAATGTAAAATACTTTTTTTACACAAAATTTCCACATACCTGTATAAATTAATTCAATTTCACTATAGAGACATAACTGAAGTACTCAAAACACGTCCAAGGAATGTTGATTTTGTTTTATTTAAACTGTAAAACTTTATAATTATTAACTTTATCAAGTGAAGACTTCTCACGTCCAGCAGTAGCCGAAATATGAAAAAAAGATGGCGTCCAATTGAAAAAGGCGCGAACTATTCACGAGTTCAAAAGTGTTACCAACCGTAGAAAAGTTGGTCGATAACTTACCTTCTATTTTATTTTTTTATAGTAAAAAAAAACAGAATTTTAAAGCATGCAACTGATTTCACGAATCAAATTTTATCGAATAAATTGACTTAAACCATAAAATTAATTACATTTTTAGCCAACAAATATAAATTATTAAGAGAAAAAACCTTTTTTTTCTCAAAAAACTTAATTTTCAATTAAAACATTTACATTTCTCAAAAAGAATGATGTTTTTATGTGAAAAATATTCGCATTGCCAAAAATACAAAGACAATTATTACAAGCGCCAAACGCAAATAAAATTATAATTTCCAATGGAACACAAATAATTCATGAACATTATAACAATAAAAATATACTGAATTTCATGTACTTACTCAACAATTGAATAAATAGTTCATTCTTTCACAAATATCAACAAAATGAAACAATGAAACGACAAGGAAAAATCAAATCTAACCTGTGCAAGTTAGAAATGTAAAATAGATTTTTTACACAAAATTTCCACATACCTGTATAAATTAATTCAATTTCACTATAGAGACATAACTGAAGTACTCAAAACACGTCCAAGGAATGTTGATTTTGTTTTATTTAAACTGGAAAACTTTATAATTGTTAACTTTAACAAGAGAAGACTTCTCACGTCCAGTAACCACTGACATATGAAAAAAAAAATGGCGTCCAATTGAACATGGCGCGAACGGCGCGAACGTTTCACGAGTTTAAAAGTGTTACCAACCGTAGAAAAGTTCTATTTTATCATTATCTATGGATAATTATTTAACTTCCTGTTTTTTAAATATGATTCAAAAAAATAACAATAAATAAATTAAAATTGTACAGAAGGTAAAAAGGTAGTTAATTAATATTATTAATTGTTTTTATATTTAATTTGTTTTAATGAATAAATATTTTTTCCTTCTGTTACAGTAATTATTTTTTAAAAAGTAAGGATTTTAGTTTTATGGAATTTTTAAATTATATTTGTATGATTTAATAACTCGATTTATTTTTTAAATTTACATAATGGAAAAGTTCTTTTCTTTAAATTCCATGTTTAAGTTTATAATAATACATTAAAGTTTACGAAGTTTGTGTAAAAAAAAGATTAAGAAATAAACATTTCTTTTGATCATCTACATACATAATAGAGCAAAACTGAATTCAACATTTCTATACAATTTCTTTGTTATTTTAAATAAGGAACAAATACCAAAATGTGGAAAACATTTTAACATTGTTTTCGAAATAATGAATTAAAATAATCATGAATATGAATTTATTTATCTTTTTCATCCGGATTGATGATATCAGCGAACAAAGCTTTCGTTTTTTCATCCTTTCCTTGTGATTCTAACCATTCTTTTTTACTCCTCGCAAATAATGGAACATTGAATTTTGTTGAAATAATCCTACCAGTTTTACTCGATCGAAGTGATTCACCAGCTCTTGTTAATTCTTCCATAATTATAATTCTCTGATTTTCTTTTGCTTTTTCCCAAATTCTCTCCAAACTTCTTGAACCATGTGTATTACAAGCCAATTGAACCCAATAACCTTGCAATTTTTTTGCCAATTTTTCACGACTTTTCTCGCCAATATATTGACTACTCATGAAACAATCAATAATACGACTTCCCTGCATATCGTTGAAAATAAAAACAAGTTCCTCAGAATCAGCTGCTAATAATGAATTAACAATTTTTATAGGTTTATTGAAATTTAACATTAATTGAACAATTAAACTTCCATGTAATTGTAGAGGAACAATTTGTTTTTCTTTTTTTGCTTGTTCTAATTTTTCAAATGTTACAAGACTCGCGGTAAGTCGTGCAATTTGTACTTGTTTCATTGAATCATCCTCACAATGTAAAATTTTCATTAAACAATTAATGAATGGTCCCTGTTTTGAATGTAATCTTGAACAAGCGTCAGCAACACTAAATAGAACACCAGTGAATCCTCTTTGTAAAATAGATTCAAAGTGAATTGTAATCTCATCGAAAATCTCTTCAAAAATTTCTTTTGTATTGCAATTGTCAATCAATCTTTGCACACAAAAATTTGCCTTTCTCATTACGCTCAATTGTCCCAATTTATTGATGAAAAAACGTTTATAAATTTTCTTGAATGTTTTTACATTTGCAACGGCAAGACAAACTTCAATTAATCTCGATGATGATTCATTTTCCAAAAATCCAGTTAAATCATCAGCTGTGAAAGATTCGAGAATTATTTTTTTCACAATTGTTGAACATAAATCAGAATCGACATCTTTCAATGAATATAAAACAGTTTGTAAAAGTCCTGAAGTAAGTTCATGATGTCCAAATTCCAAAAATTGTGGCCAACTGTAAATATGGAAAATAAATTAGAAATTTTAAAAAATATGTTGTTTTTTCTTTTTTTTTTATAATGGAAAATTATTCTTACTTGTGCATTCTTCTACTACTGTCAACAAGTAAATCCAAAAAACTTTGATCAACTTTAAGCACTGATTCTAAACATGGTGGAGATTTTTTCTTACTTTGATCACCAGATTTGTCAACTACTCCTCTTAAACATTGAAAAACAGTTCTTAATACATGATTTGCATATGTATCCCAGGCGAATTCTTCCATATTATTTATGACGTATTTACATAATTTTAAAGACATTTCATTATATTTTTGCTTCTCGTCTTCTTTTATTTCTATTAAAAAATTATTTGTCGATTTTTCCAATGTTCTATTTCCACGATCGGTACAAACACAAATTAATTTTTGTAAAACGTGACTCGCAAATCTATCACTGCACATTGGTCTTAAATCATTTTGAAAAGCTAATATCATTCTTTTAATTGTCTCTAAATTTGCATAATCCATGAGACTCTCAAGTACACGGGATCCAATTTGATTTCTCGCATAATCAACTTCATGATTTATTGTTTGCTCGTAAACATTATTTGTAAATATTAATTTATCATCTATTGTTGAAAATTCATTTCTTATTATTTCCCAAACGCGTAACATATATTGATAGGCATCAGATTCCAATTCACCAGCATAACTTCGACTACGAGCCATTTTTTTCATTATTTGATTATGTGATCTTTTTTTCTTACGTTTCATTGATTTTTTTATATTCTCACCTTGATCGGACGACATTTTTTTCGAAATTTTTATTAATGAAACTCTTTTTTATTATCACTATATCGTTTATATTTGTAACGTTTACTTTGCGTGACAAGAGAAACATAACCTACAAAAAAAGCACGTGAAAAACAGCTGATCAATATATGTATATTCACAATGTGGGAAATTCAAATCTCTATTTCCGCGTAATTAAAGACAAAATTGTCCAGAAAATGTGGATAATTATATTCGTATTTGAAAATGATGATTGAATAATAATTTTATTAACAATCCTTTTTTTAAAGAAAATCTCATATTTTTTTATTCAAAAAGTTTATAAAAACTATACATTAATTATATGCAGTTAATAACTATTTTTTACCTTTATGCCAATTTATTCAGATATTTGCTCCTCGTTTTCAATTGCATTTATTATATCATTCCAAATTTCTTCTATATCAGTTTTCGTCAATGTACTTCGACTAAATTGTTTCAATATTTTAGAATGTTTATTGACAAATGAAGATTCTAAATTTATTTTTAAAAAAATATTATTAAAAACCCAGTTTTTTAAATGTAAATTCTTAATTACTTGTTTCTTACCATCATCATTGGATTCCATAATAAAGAAATGTTCAATTTGCCAAGTTTTCTTTAAAAATCGAGTAGCCCATTGTAAAGTGAATTGGATATCATCTACATTTTTAGGGGAATACACATTAACAATAAGTCCACCTTCTTCATTTGAATTTGATTTTTGTGTTACATATTTACGCTTCTCCAATCGTTTTAATATTTTACCTCGTACATAACTTTGATCGACGTAATTAGTAAAAGCTTGAAAATAAATTATAGATATTATTATATTATTTAGAATTAAATTAATTTTATTTTTTACCTAAGATTAAAGATGAAAAATCTTTCATTTCTGTTAACATGTTTATCCAAGGTTCTATCTCTTTGCGGTAACATTCATCTAATTCAGTATCAGGAAAATGGGTATCAATCTTGAGAATTTCACTGCTTTCCTTGTTCTGTGAATAAATAAATTATTAGCGTATGATAAGAAAATTCAATGTTAATTTTCTTTCAATTACCTTCATTCTAGTTGTCAGTTCGACAATCATTCTCAAATCTCCTTTAGTGACAGTAGCTTTATATTGATAAACATCATCTTGAAGAAAAGTTTTACTGACATCATCAAAATGAAAACCAAGTATTCGTTCGGTGAATTCAATTTCTTTTCTCTTATTGTTAGTTTTTGGGACTTCGCCATTTTTCAATTGTATACCAATAAAATTAGCATTGGCTCTAAATATGAAATATGAAAATTAAAAGATTTAATTCTACACAATATGTATATCTACATATTAATATTTAAAATATTAATTCAATAATTTGTACTCGAGTTCACGTCGTCTCTCTTCAGCAATCAATTTTTCTTTCAATTCACAAACTTCTGTGAGAAGTTGATTTTTCATTTCTCTTAAAGCGAATAATTCCTCATCATCTTCATCATCGTCTTCTTCTTCTTCTTCATCATCTTCCTCCATTTCACTTTCAATATTATTTTGAATTACTGACATTCTAAAAGTTAGGTTATGTTATCGCTCAATTAATAGATTCATATGAAATCAAATTTTAAGAAAAAAAGATAAATTTCCTACCTGAAATATTCAATAAACAAATGACAGAAGCTCAAAACTAATTTATTTATTTTTTTAAAATAAAATTAATTGAATTATAAACGTTATAAACAATACTGCTCTTATACCATAGATATGATTACTAGATATCTACATGGTAGCTCAAAAACTTGTTTAATGATAAAACGTCTGAAATGTGAAACTTTTGGACAAAGAATACGCAATATTTGGAACGTTTCACTTATTGTAGAAGCACCTTTATATAGTATCACATTACCTGCCCATCACTAGATTGTGCAATAAAAGCCACCATTAAATTTTTGACGTCATAAACGTCATTAATTTATTGACTGATCTAATTAATAGGTTAGGAATGTGTTTGCGTCTAATACAATTTATGTTTTTCTTTTTTTGAAATGTAGTGTCAAATCTTTAGAATTTGTTTAAACGTATGAACATATTAAACACTTTCTTTACGTTGATTAATTATTATTGATTAAAACGTGTCATGAATTGTAGAATTTAAAAGATTTTTTAGTGTTAAAAAAATTACATTTTTCATGTAATTTATTTAACTGATTTTGACATTAGTCTTTTGAAAACAATTGTCCTTTTCTTAAAAGTTAAAATATATAAGTAACTGGTAAGACCTGATATGATTTAATTTAGTTTAATTCTAATATACGTATAATGAAAGAAGAAAATCAATTTCAATTAATTATCTTTATTTTTTTTAAGCTATTATTATGAAGGTAGTTTTAATTGTTTTCCAGAACAAAATAATATCTAATTGTTAAAAAGTTTTTTTTCTGATTTCTTAACTTAGATTTTATCTTATATATTAATATATATGTATGTAATAATTAACATAAATTAATTTCTTTTTAAAGTGTTTTTCAGATAAGATATTACAATGCCTCTGTCTGAAAAACTATCAATAGTGAAAAGCAAATTCACCTCCGGCGAAACCGTGGTGACTGTATCCTTATAATTTTTATACATCTACATAAAAAAGTATAGATAAAGTATTAAACACATTTTTTTCCGTAGAAAAAGAAGCGATTAATATATTAATTTAATTTATTTAGAATAATAATTATTATTAAATTGTAATATCCTTACATTAATATTAATTAAAATAAAGGCAACGGAAGCATCATTGATGCAAGGATGGGTGAAAGCTGCTCGAATTTTATCGGTTGTGAATAAAGGACCTACGTATGCTTTAGTTATTTTAATAACATCTCGAACTCCACCTCAAGTGTATAGTGATCTTACAATAGAAAAAGTTCTTCCCATACATGAGGATTTTAAATGTGTAATAGGTAAAATTTGTTTCATGTCGTTTTTTCCCCTTGTTACTTATTATTATTTATTATTAGTTCTTGCATTTTATTAAAATAAATATAATGAATATTATAGACGCTGATGGAAAACAGCAAGATGGAACAGACGTTTATCTCAGTGTTTCATCAAAAAATATTGAAATAACTTTTGAAATGCGACCTGGAACTGAAACTAGTACTCTTGTTTCTGAAATATTTCGTGCCGTAGAAAGTAAATATCAAAAAATTATTATAAAATTACTTTAATAATTATGATTTAAATTTTAAATTATTTATTAAAATGACTTTCTAGTGTATCAGAAGGAAAAATATTCCACATCCGAATACACGTGGACCAACAAATTGACTGCATCTACGAGGAGTTTAGATGGGACTAAAGATGAAGCGCAAGATGTTGATACAGTTAGTTTCAGAAATTTTTTTTTTTTTGTAATTTATTTAATGGTAATTATTTTTAAAAAATCATTTTTTGACAGTTAGTGGAGCTTGAGTGTCAAGATTTAGTTGAGTCGAGACATAATATTGCCACTGGTAAAACTCCCGTTGCCAATCGAGATTCGTTGGTGCAAATGCATATGCAACGCAAGTCAAACGATTACACTTACACGGAAGTTTTCAGGTAATATTTTTTATTGATTTAATTATTTAGAAAATTATTTAAATTCTAGCCAAGTGTTTTAAAATTGTTAATTTTATTTGAATTTGATAAAATTATAATAATTTTTATAGAATTTTCGTTGGTACATGGAATGTGAATGGTCAATCAGCAAATGGAATCACTTTGGAAGAATGGTTAAGCAGCGATTCAGTAGCGCCTGATTTATATGCAATTGGCTTTCAGGAACTTGATTTAAGTAAAGAGGCTTTTCTTTTCAATGACACTCCAAGAGAAGAGGAATGGAGGTAAATTTTTATGTAAATTAGTAATTTACATTTTTAAAAAAATTATTTTAAAACCTTAATAAAAATGAAACATTTTTTTACAGACTAGTCGTTACTAAATCTCTTCATCCAAAAGCAACTTACGGACAAGTGGCGTTAGTTAGACTCGTTGGAATGATGTTGATTGTCTTTGCGCAAGATGGTCATATACCTTTTATTAAAAATGTTTCTATCGATACTGTCGGTACTGGAATTATGGGCAAAATGGTAAAAAAAAATTCTTTTTTAAAAAATATTTTTATTTTTCTTAAACTCGATGTGCAACATGATACGATTTATCTATGAAACACTTTAAAAGCACCAAACGACAAATGTTATTACTATTAGTACTTTGAATTTTTAATACTAAACAGGGAAATAAAGGAGGCGTGGCAGTTAGTCTTTCATTTCATAATACGACTGTTTGCTTCGTAAATGCACATTTGGCGGCTCATTGCGAGGAATATGAGAGGCGCAATCAAGATTATATGGATATATGTTCTAGACTCTCCTTTTCTCGATGTATTGACAATACGATACCATTTATACCCAAAGGATTCAGAGATCACAAGTATATATTAATTTTTGGTTAATCAGTAAAAAAAAAGAAGTGAAAAGAATATTTCTTATTTTTAAAGAAATTAATTTTTCCTTCAAATCTTTTTTCTAGTCAAATCTATTGGCTGGGTGATTTAAATTATCGAATAACAGAAATGGACGCAGCTACTGCTAAGGAATATATAAATTCCGGACAATTTACACCTGTTTTGCAACTTGATCAATTAATGCAGCAGCGCAAACTTGGCAAAGTTCTTGCTGATTTTCAAGAAGCTGAAATTAATTTTAAACCAACATATAAATATGATCCAGGCACTGATAATTGGGATTCCAGGTAATTAGTGTTATTTAAATTTAAAAATAAAAAAAAATTGTGCTACATCCATTTACGTGATTTATTTTCTAATTATAAATAATATAATAATAGTGAAAAAGGAAGAGCGCCCGCTTGGTGTGATCGCGTTTTATGGAAAGGAGAAGCTATTGCCTCTGTTGAATATAGAAGTCATTCTAAATTAAAATTATCGGACCATAAACCAGTCAGTGCCATTTTTGATTCTCAGGTAAGTATTTTTCATTAATATTTATATTAATATAAAAAAATATTAATAAAATAACAATAATTTCAGATTAGCGTAATAGATAGAGTTAAATATCGTAAAACACACGAGGAAGTAATGAAAAAATTAGATAAACTCGAAAATGAATTCTTGCCCCAAGTAATGGTTGATGCTACAGAAATTATATTTGATACTTTAAGATTTCTTGAACCACACAGCAAAGATTTAATTATTGCAAACACTGGACAGGTTAGATGAATAATATTCAGTATTATTTTAATTAATTATAAATTTTTATAGCGTTCGAGTAAATTGATATAACAAATATTAATATAGATATTATAATTTGAATAATTTATCAAGAAAAATTAAATTTTGAAATCAATTTTCACTTTAGGTACCAGTGAAATTTGAGTTTATTAAAAAATTAGACGACACCAGTTATTGTAAAGATTGGTTAAAAATAAAACCTTATTTTGGTTTTATAGAACCCGGTAAGAATGAGTTTTGTCACTAATATATTTTGAAAATATTTTCACATGGCATATATTTGATAAAATATGTTTATTGTAAATTAGGGGAAAAATGTGATGTTAAACTGAAAGTTCTTGTTGATAAAAGATCGGCCTGTAAACTAAATTCCGGAGAGGATAAACTTTATGATATTCTAGTCTTACATTTAGAGGGTGGAAAAGATATTTTTGTTACAGTAACAGGTAATTAGAAACACTTTTTGAAAGAATGTTTAAAAAAATTGCTTTTCTTTTTTAAAACTTTTATTTAGTTATAATGATTTTTTATATATTTTTTATTTTTTGAGATTTGTTTTGTATTCTCAGGTACTTATGAAAGAAGTTGCTTTGGATCGTCAATGGAAGCTTTAGTACATATTCCAGTTCCTATTAGAGAAGTTCCTATTGGAAGAATAATGGAATTGGTGAGAAGAATATTATAAAATGTCATTATGAAAATAGTTATAAATTTATTTTTCAAATTCTTTTCTGAATCTCTTTTTTTGGCAGGAAAATAATAAAAATCCCTCACAAGAACCTTATGCTGTCCCTAAAGAAATTTGGCTACTTGTTGATCGATTGTATCGTCATGGAATTAAAACACCAGGACTTTTTGAAAAGCGAGGTGCTCCTAATGAAATTATAGCTATTAGAGATTGGCTGGACATTGGCAGTCAAGATCCAATGCGTATCCTTGAAAAAAAATATATTTAAAAATAAAATTTCCAGATTCAATAATATTTTATTCTCTATTTTTAAATATGTATTTTATCATATTTTTTAATTCTATTTCCTTAGCGATAATTTAAAATAGCTGGTAATGTACATTCCGTAGCCGAAGCTTTACTTCTTCTATTAGACTCAACTGCTGAGCCAATAATTCCATACAATCATCATAATGTTTGCTTTTCTACTGCAACTAATTACTGGAAGTGCAAGGAGGTATTAAATAAGAAAATTTTCATTTAATATCTTTGAAAAAAATAAAAAAATGTATCATATTTAAATTTTTTTAAATTTTGTTTATCAATTAATAAATATTAAATACAGATTGTCATGCAATTGCCAGAAATTAGGAGGACAGTTTTCCTTTATATTTGTGCATTTTTGAAGGAGCTTTTAAGCCACACTCAGGATAATGGTTTGGATGCGAAAACTTTAGGTAACATTTTAAATTTTAATATAAATATAATTTATAGATTGTTTTTGCTTTCAAAGTGGAGTAAATTTACATTTAAAGGGCAAAATAAAAATAAGTTTTCGTGTTTAAATAAAAAAATTATATATAATTTAAGATAAAATTTAAATTTCGTTACCTTTTTGCAGCGACCCTCTTTGGATCAATATTTTTACGAGATCCCCCCAGAAGTCGAGATGATTCTCAGTTAAGAAATAGAGTAACTCAAGCAACGTTTGACCGAAAAAAGGCGGCATTTGTTTTTCACTTTTTAGTAACGGATCAAAGTGATTTTCTTGGACGATAGTAATCAGAAATAATTGATAAACTTTCGAATATTAGATTATATACGTAATAGTGTAATTATATTTTAAAAAAAGCAATAATTGAATGGAATATTTAGCAACTTTTTATCAATTGCCAGTACTTAGGTAAGAATTTTGAATATTATCTTACAATTTGTACTTCGTTAAGGCCGTATATCATACTTTACAATTTTTAATCTCAAAAATATTTGTAAAATGTTAAATATCAATTTGCGAAGAAAAAAACATAGGCCTTGATAAATTAAATTTCATTAAAATATTTTACTTGATCTCATTGTAGAATGAAACATCTAAGTACAGAAAATGGCAAAACTTAGTCACAAGGAGATAAAAAAATGATTTTTTTTGTCAAACTTTGTTATTTTTGGTTGCAGATTTCTATTTATAATATTTTTGAATTTCAAATTAAGTTTATTATCAAAAATATCTTATTTTACTTTTTTTTACTGGCAGTTGAGTGAAAAATTGAATTATCTATATTATTAGAAAATTAAATACCACAATTTTGTTTACAATTTACATTTGCATTTCTCACATTGTTAAAATTGAAAATTTTATCTAAATTTGTTACTGCAACCAAAGAAATTTTAATTTTATTGAAGAAAAAAAACGGAAAGCAAAAGAAAGTAATTGTCTTGAAAGTATAAAAGTAATAAGGGGAAAAAAATGATCCTATTTTGTTTAAAGTCTTTAAAAAAAGAAATGAGAAAATATTGTTTGATTTAAAAAGTATTCCATTATTAGTGAATCTCATTCTATATTTTCTTAATTTATTCCTTTTTTTGCAGAGAACAATTTCTGGTCAAGTTTAGAGATTTGAAAATTTTAGTGCAATGTTCTTTCTTTTTTTATTGTATATGTATATATATTTGTTATAAGTAGATGTTGTAATGCTCAGCCAATAATTTTCGCTTAATTCTTTAGGAAATAAAAATATTTTTATAGTTTTATATGTAAGAAAAAAAAGTTTCGTGAAATTGTGACAACTAATTTCTATTCACAGGAACGTATGAAAAAATATTATAATAATAAGGATAATAGAACAAAAGAATATTTAAATGTTTCTAAAAAAAAATGGACAATATATTTTTTTATTCTATAAATTGATTGAATCTATGCAAAATAATTGATGTTTTTTATATATGAATAATTGTGAAAATAATAATTTTCAGGAATATATTCTATTGTTTTATTATCCTTTATTTTTAAATATACAAATTATAATTTGCATGTTTGCTAGAATTTTAATACTATATTGCGTATTAATTTTACTGTTAGTAAAAAGCCTATCTTGTCATTTAAGTTTTTATTTAATTAATATTAATCTCTCGTTTATCAATTGAATGTCGTTAATTTCTTTTATTCAATTTTGATTTTTTATGAAATGTCAATTTGATTACTATTTTGATAAATAATTTTTTTTCAATTGTAAATTATATTCTTTGTTATTTACGTATATTTATATGCAAATATATATATGTTTTTATTTATTAAATGCCATTATATCAAAATATCATAGATGTAGGTAGAATAATTTGTTTTTCTTCGCTTTTTATTTTTAATAAAATTGCAAGCATTTCTAAACAAAATAAAAATCCTATAATTCTTGTAATCTTGTAGCGCAAAAATTATCGAATTTGTATCAGCTATAACCAAAAAAAATTGCCTACTTGAAGAAAAATGAACATGTAACTAAGGAAAGAAAGTAAATTTCTGTGGTTTTTGTATCAAAAACTTTATTTGGACAGTAATAAAAATAGAAAATATTTGACTTTTAATCATTTTTCAACACAGTTTTTGGACAAAGCGACGCCAATATTTTTTTTTTTGTTTTCTCATTTATAAAAAGAATAGAAAAAATTATATTTTTATTGTAAAAAAAAAATAATGAGAATACTGCTTAAAGCTAGTGTCTCAAAAGAAATTTTTTTTTAAGACATCACTATCCTTTTTAAAACCCAGTATATGAGGAGTTTTTTCTAAATTTAAATAATTCGTATATATATATGTATTGTAGCGTAAAAATTAAATCGATGATATAATTGTTTTTAATAGTAATACTAATTTGTCAAGTTAGAAAGAAAAAAAAATTCGCGTCTTAATTAGATTATGCATAACTGCGCGGGCGAAAAAAAACAATTGCGTAATCTAATGACAATGTTTCATCTTTTTTTAAAAACTTGAAACTTCTTTTTTTTTTTTTGAAAAAAAACTTTATAATATATTATTATGATAAAAGAAAATGTTACTTTTGAAGTGTGAATTATTTGAAAAATTAAACATTCAATAGTTTTTTCTTTTGAAGCTTATTTTGAATTATTTACAAAGTGAAAGATAATGTTATCCTCGGATAATTTTCAAAAATTAAATCCACCTTTCGGTGTAGTTCCACTTTGAAAATTCAGTTGACCATCAACAGCCGCTGGTGCCAAGTTTTGATCTTCCGCCTCCTAAACAATGAAATTAAATTTAATTTAATAATTATTAATTATTATTTTTTATATTAAAAAAGTATTTATTGATTCTAAGACGTACGGGTTCAGCGAAGAAACTATCAATTATTGCCATGGACTTTTGATAGACTTGTTCATTTTCATGATGTTGCAAATTTTCAAGTTTATCAAGACCTCCAACTTCTTCAATCATAATGGCAATGCGTTCGACTTCTCCCATTTTCTCCGCAGCCGATAAAATATTCGTCAAACCATCAAGTACAACAACAACCGATTTATAATCTTTTGCATCGAGAAGATTACAGAATGGCGCAAGTACTCCCATTTGAACGAGAATTGCAAGCTGTTGAACTGTTCCACCCGATGTCATATTTGTTATTGCCCATGCTGCTTCTTTTTGTGACTTAAAGTCACCCTATTATAACAACAACAAATTAAAAAATTTATTTTAATTATTTAAATAATGGTAAAAAAAATTTAATTGATAAATAAATATAAATATATATGTTGAAACTTACAGATTGAAGAACATTTATTAATGGTGGCAAAACACCGGCATCAATGACTTTTTGTATTTGCTCTGGATTACCAGCTGTGATATTGCTAATGGTCCAGGCAGCTTCCTTAACAATATTACCACGTTGATGCTGTAGAAGACTGCATAAATATTTAATAGCTTCAGCATTAATTATCGCATCAGTTTGAATATCATTTCCTGTGACAATATTTCCCACTGATCGCAATGCTGGTGTTAATACACTAACTTCCTGTGATCCAAGTAAGGCAACCAAATGCGGTACAAGACCACAATCCAAAACTGCTTGAATTTTCTCATTTGGACCATCAGTCAAATAAGAAAGTGCCCAACATGCATCAGCTGTTATCAAATATTTAATTAAAAATACAAATCAATAAATGTAAAAATGATTATATGAAGAGAAAAATAGCAAATTACCAAGAATATCTTTATCAGTGTTGGTCAGGAGATTTTTTAACATTGGCAGAGCGACTTTGACACTCTCGAAAGGCGGTGCTGGATTTTTATTGCGACAAAGATTCGATATCGTCCAAACAATATTACGTGCAAAAGTAACCTGAAATGATATTATTTTTGTCATTCTCGAAAAAAAGTTTTCTCATATTTTTTTGTAGTACTCACATTTATAGTAGGTTTAATAAGACCGATTAAAAGCTGCATGGCACCTTGAGAGAGAACTTGATCACGAGCCGCTGGCCCATCACCGGCAATATTGCCCAATGCCCATACTGCTTGTTCAGCCACATTTGGATGAGGTGATTCAAGAAGATCAATCAACTTTGGAATGGCACCATGTTCAATAACAACGTTAGTTTGGTCTGAAGTGCCAGACGCAACGTTAGTCAATGCCCATGCTGCTTCAAATTGAAGAGACGCACTGCGGAACAAAAAAATCATTCAAAACATCATTTCTTTGTAATTATTTATAAACAAAATCTATTGAATTATTTTACGCACTTATGATGATAGCCGAGAAATTCGATGCAACGTGGTACAATTCCTTTGGATATCATAACATCAATTGGTGGATTTTTCTCGCGGCTTAACATTTTTCTACATGTTTGCGTAGCTAAAAGAACATTTGCCTCATCCTGAGAATTCATACCAACAATCACTTCGTCTACAGAAAGTGCTGGAGATTTCATTACACCAGGTGGACTTTGTGCATCATCGTCTTCAGTGAGATTACGACGTTTTAGCATTTGATCATCCTTTCGGGCTTTACGCAATTCCACGCTCACTTCATTTCTTCTCCGACGTGCCTCCTATTTATTTATATTATTTTTTAATACCATTTCATCAATAAAAATTATAATCTGTTCTTTTTTTAAAAAAAAGCAATATACAAAATTTTATTTCACATAAAAATTGCACAATGGTTCAAAATTGTAAACAAACCCATATATTTTTGCAATTAATTTTTATCAATAAGAGAAAAAGAAATATTTCAAGTTATTTTTAATAACAATTTTCAATATCACAAAAAAGATAAATTTTATTTGTCAATTTATCTTCAATGTTGTAACTAATACGCGCGTATGTAATTATACAAGTTCAAAAAAGAAAAAAAAATCGAATTACAAATTTTTGTGTTATTTTGTAATTTCTGTAAAAACAGAAAAATTATGACTTACGTCATGTTTGTTGTTGAATTTAAATTTGGCCATTCGGTCTGATGTATCAGGTTCTCTAGCTGGCATTTTGGCTGAAAAACATAAACAGTGATTAAAATAAATATTTCAGTTAATTTAATTATCCTAAGGATTTTGAAGAACTATTTATTATATCATATATTACTTTTAATTAAAACAATTATAACTATAAAAATTGCTTATCAACAAAAGTTGATTTGTATAAATTAAAAAAATTAGGAAAAATAATTGAGATAACACGAGTAACTTCGAAAGAGACTATTGTACTTATATTGGAGAAGGGGGTTCTCGATTTCAAAAAAACCGTTTCACGACTGGAAAAATTAATAAAACAATCACTCTCTTGATAATATATATATATGTATTTTCACAAAACAAATTGATACCTGATAGAATTTTAATTAACTGAAAATGTAATAATTCTTATGAAAATATTATTATCCTTAATTACAAAAAATATCGGTTACTTTTTTGGGAGATAGAATTTTTTTTCTCTTCTTGTTTCGCACAAGGCAACAGGCAATGGAAAATCGATATTGAAGCCGGTAATGCAAATATAATAATTCCGAATGATAATTTAAAGACACTTACATTTCTCTGCTAAAAGTAATGGAATAAGTGAGATGAAAAACTGTGTGAGTCGCGACCTGCGCGTAAAATGTGCCAAAGAATTATTGAAAAATAATGTCTCTTCAATTATCTTGACCTTTAACAGTTGAGAATCAAAAGCTATCCCTTTTCTGTATGTTTCTCTGTGTTTGCCGCAGTTTCTTTCAAGGAACAAGAAAAATGAAATACAAAAGATATAGATGATCAAACTGCAATCTATTAAGGGGCCATCACACATGAGAGGCAACATTTGTGAATTTAAAGTATTGAGATAGAAAAGGAGAAAGATATAACTTTGGCGGGAATTTCGGCATCTTTTCAAATATATATGAAGAGCTTGAAACAAAAAAATTGAAAGGGGAAGGAATTTTAAAATAATTTAAATAATGTTTAAGAAAGTTTTCTTTTTGGATTCTTTTTTTTATTATTATAATACAAAATAACAATTTCATTTTTTGGGATTCTTACCTAGATATCATAAATTATTTACTTCTTTTTGGCCAATTTCTCTTTTCTTTTTTTGACATGTTTTTTAATTTTGTTTTTTCTTTTTTCTGACTGTTCTTCTTTTACTGCCTTTTTCCGTGCCTAAAATAAATAATCATGAATTATGTAATAAGGAAAAAAAACAAATTAATTTCATCTTTAAAAATGATTAATACTATTTTAAAAGATTCATATATACCTTTTTACTCTCTAAACTTTCATTTCGTGGCCTAGCTGCATTTATAAATTTAGAATTCTTTTCATCTTCATTATTCATCTCGTTATCAGAATTTTCCGAATCAGAATCTACATCACTATTACTCGAAGAAATATCATCATTTAAATTACCATCTTTAGTGGCAATAATTTCTGGAATTTCTACTGGTTTTGATAGATCTGATTTCATACCAATTAAAGTTTTATAAATTAATTCTTCTTTCCCTGATTTGGCTAAATTTATGTCTCTTTCAACATCGATCACCTATAATTTTTTATTATTATTATTATTTTAAAGATAAAATTTCTTTTAAAAAAAGTATTGGAATTAAAATTGTCAATAAAATTTTAGTAAAATATTTACAATACCTCATCAAGTCGTTGAGGAATATAAGCTTGTTTAAACACTTCTTCTTCCACCTGCTCTTCAGGATTTAATGATTGTAAATTTTGTGTCATTTTCTCCGATGCTAAATCCAAATATTCTTCCATATTTTCTTCGGATACAGTTGGATCAGTAATGAAATTAAAAAGTGCTTTCAATGACATTACAGCAACATCTCTTTTTTTAAAGAATTCTGTAAAAAGAATTATATATTCAATTTTAATAATTTTGGACGAAAATCAAACCTTTCTTTTATCATTGAATTAATTAATAAATAATTATATTTTGAGAAACTAGATATTTGATTAGATATTAATGACAATTAATTTAATTTATTTATTACCCACCAGTAATATTTGTACAATCTTTCCTTAAAAACTCAAAAGCCATAGGATGATCATGTTCAACGGATTGAGAAACATCAATTACAACTATACTCGAATCACAATAGAGTAAATTATATTCACTCAAATCAGCGTGAACTAATTTACATTTATTATAAAGTTTCCACATAATTTCAATGCATTCTCGATATAACGATCGTAATTTGGATGTACAAAGATCAACATCCTTTAATTTTGGTGCAGGCCATCCTTCTTGACCAATAAAATCCATTAATAAAACATGTTTGCGTAACATAATTGGTTTAGGTGAATTAACACCAGCTTGTTGTAAACGTAAGAGATTACGCATTTCTTTTTCTGCCCACGTTTGAACCATTTTACGTGGATTACTTTTACAATAACCATGACGAAAACGAAATTCTCCAGTTACATATTTATCACGATCCTTAAAATTTAAAATTGATGTTTTATAAATTTTAATAGCAAAATCAACACCTGTTTTTGATGTTGCATGATAAACATTTGCCTCCTTCCCAGTCGAAATACAACCGTTCATTACACTTATAATTCCTTGTGTAAGCATTTTAAAAAGAATTTTACGTGTCCTTGGATCCATAACTTGTTCAACAGTAGCACGATCATGTTTATCTTTTATTCGAATACGATCTTTATCAACACGTCGATTTTTTTCAATTAAACTATTAGTTGCATGATTCGGTAAAGATGGACCCTCATATTTCTCTAAATTAATTTTATTAGCATAACGATGAAACAGTTTATCAGTGGGTTGAAAATTCGACATTTTTTTGGATTCAACTTGAGAATTAGCACTTTGTTGACGATTATTTTTTAATCGAATTGATTGACCAGAATAATTTTGAATATAATCCCAATCACAATCACTGTCATCATAACTCACTTCATCTTCATCAGAATCTATTATATCCAAATTCTCCAATTTCTCGAGAGTATTTTCTTTAAATGCTGGAGTTCCATTGTGCTTATTTTCATTGCTAAGGAAAATAGAATAAATTTAGATTATTAATTATGGAAAAAGGAAATAATGTGAAATTGACTATTTTATAAACTTGGAAAATAAAACATCATTTGACAATAAAATAAGACAAAATATTTACCAATTAATGTTATTAAATATACGTATATGATATTTTTTTCGCCATTGACATGAAAAAGTGTCTTTTTTGTGCCTGTTTTGGGCAGATAAAGTAGCACTTTTTAAGGCAGTTTGGGCCAACTGCCTAAAAAAGACTTTTTTAGGCAGCAAACTGCCGTATAAAGTCTTTTTTAGGCAGTAAACTGCCCTATAAAGTCTTTTTTAGGCAGTTGTTAATTTTTGCATAATTTTTTTTTTTGCTTTTATTTTATTTATCAATTTTTATTATTTTTTTTCTTTAAAATTGTTTCACTTTTTCATAACAATGGCGAAAAAAATAGCGTATGTGGCTCGCACGTAGTAATTTTTAGGTTCGGATGATTTCAATACTCGCTGTCTGTGCGACTTCGGTTCGACTCGGCTCGCTTTCGGCTCGACTCGACTCGCCTTCGGCTCGTCTTCATCTCACCTACAGCTCGCCTTCGTCTCACCTACGTCGCACTAACGACAGCTCGTACTGAAAATTACATCCTCACCTAAAAAGTACTACTTTACGTGCTTGCCACATAATATACTATTATATTATGTAATTAAATATATCATGAAAGAATTATATAAAATAATTATTGTGGACAATAAAGTTATAAAATTAAAAGATTAAAAACATACTTAACATCATCCTCATCGGCATCACTGAATTGGCCAGATATGTTAGGTAAATCCATTATTTTTTTTATAAATCAACTTAAACAAGTAAATTAATTTTGTAAATTACAAACAATTACTTTATTTCAGCAAAACGTGGTAAAGATGGTTGTGAAACACAATAATATTGTTAAGAACATAGTAGTGGGGGCTGTGACAATTGATCAGGGTTGGATAGCTTTCTACAGAATAAATTAAGCCTTTTTCATATTTCCAGTGTCTCAATTTAGGGTGTTTTCATATTTGAATGAAGGAAGTTGGCAACAGAAAAAGTAAAACCTGAATCCGACTGTAGAGCTTCACATTGATGTGGTCAATTTCAGAAATATTTTTCGCTTCAAAATGGAACTCATACATCAATTGTTATAAGTCCCCTTCGCTAAAAGTTTCCAATTCCAATGTTGTTATATGTCAGATTCGCGGGTTGAAGGTCGTTGCTGGTGGGGCATTGGATCATGTGGTGGGGTATTCGCGTACATTCGCGGGTGACGCCAGGTGACGTGAGGCACAGAAAATATGGCTGCTGGTTATAGTGGAACGAAGAAGCAAAAGCTGAACAATTCCTCTGGCATTCAATGTGATGGATCAGCTGTGATACAAAATGGAATTATACGAAAATCTCTCATTGTTCATCCAGAAATGGGCTTCTTCTGCTTCGACGTACTCTACTGCCAGCTGCACCAGCTCGATCCACCAAAATCACCCAAATTTTGCAATGATGCATTGTAAGTATATTATCCCCACCAATTCTTATGTATATATTGTTTTCTTTCTCTTACCACCACTATCTCAATTTAGTACATGGTGTTCTTGTCTCCCTCTTACAAGTTCCATTAAAAACTCTCACCACTTTGATTGTATTCTATTTGTTTTTTCTCTTTATTTATAAAAGAAGAAAACCATGCTTCTGGAAAAAATACGCTTTTTTAAAGTTGTAAATTATGTTCCAATTTTTGTTTTTTGCGAAAACTGTAACCATTGTTTTTATTTTTTACGAAACTATTTAGATACGTGATAAACAGGGTTGCACAGTGACGCGTCACTCGAGGTTTTTGACGTATATTACGTAAAAAATGTAATATACGTAAAAAACCTGTAATAAATGTAAAAAAATATGGCGGCGGTCTGGCGATCAATAAAAAATATGTAAACAAATATTAGTATCACAGAAAAGCAACAAATTAATTATTTTAAAACTTTTAAAAAATAAGTATATGGATATGAATCCACAAAATCGAAAACGCCAAGCAATTCCTTGGCAAAGTTTAAAATTTTCACGCTTGAAAACTGATGAAAAAGGAGTAACCAATGCGAAATGTTTATTATGCGACAAAATAGTGCAAAACACTGGTTATGATCGTCTTTTAGGCCATAGGTATGTAAACTTTATTATTAACAATCATTTTTAGATTATATGTTTCATCAAAAAAAATTTAGTTGCTGACAATCAACAACTTGAATATGATTAAATCCATGCAAAAATTACATAACCTATAATTTAAATAAAGTATACTTATTTCATATATTATTTTACTATATTTAAAATATATGAAATTCTTTTGATTAACAAAACTATTGTTATTAATCATATTTATTTTAATTATTATATTAAATGTTTAAATACATTCTTTTTATTTACAGTGCGTCTTAAAGGCTATATATTAATATGAATGTGTAATATAAAAAAGCTATACATTTTTTTCTTTATTCAGATTTTTATAATTTTTGGAAAAATTAAAAATTAATATATAGTTTATTAGTTTTTGCTCGGATTATCTCAATTTTATGATTAAGTATATAAGTATATAAAAATAAGGTATACCTGTATACCTTACAATTGGAAACGATTTAAAAGTTATTCTAAAAAAAATTATTATTTAATTCAAGAAATATCTGCAAGGATACAACTTCATCGCAATTTGCAATTGTGCCACTCAATTTTATTTTCAGGATCACGGAGTTTAAGCGGCCATTTTGAAAAAGTAAATTACGTAAAAAACTAAGCACGTAAATTACATACGTAATATACATGTAAAAAACCATGTAATTTACGTCAAGTATATTACGTACGCAACCCTGGTGATAAATATATAGATTAGTTTTTTTATAGAAATACAGAACATATATGTATATGTATGTTTTAAAGTTGACATATTATTAAATTAATTACAGTTGTGATAGTATATTTTTGTAATTTTTTTGCAGGTAAATCAATAGATTTCTTTGTTATCCTTTGGAGACAAAGGAACTGTCAGTCAGTGCTTTCTTTTATAAAACATTTTTTTATGTAATAATACATAGCTCTTGATTGTCATTCTTCTCATTATCATTTTCTTTCATCCACTATTTTATGTAAATTGATATATTTTTTTTTTTAATTTAACAGTAAAATTTTAATTTCGTAACAAATTAATTTTCCTTTAACTTTTTGATGTTTTCAAATTTTCAGCCCTTTATTTGTGACATGGGAAATCGGAAAAGACAATCAACTTAGAGGTTGCGTAGGAACATTCAATGCAATGCAATTGCATGCTGGTCTACGAGAATATGCTGAAATTAGGTAATTAAAAAGATTCTCTTAATTTATCAATATAAATTTATAATAACTCATATTCTATTTTTTTCATAGCGCTTTCAAGGATCCTCGATTTAATCCTATTTCTCGAGATGAATTACCCAGCTTGCATGTAACCATTTCAGTACTTCATCATTTTGAACATGCTATGGATTATTTAGATTGGGAAGTTGGAGTTCATGGGATTCGTATCGAATTTCATGATGAGAGAGGAAGTAAAAGAACTGCCACATTTTTACCTGAAGTTGCTAAAGAACAAGGTAGGTTTTAATTTTTTAAATTAGAAAATACTTCAATTACTAAATTTAAGACAAATTTTTATTTATTTATTATGATTAGGATGGGACCACACACACACAATAGATTCCCTATTTCATAAAGGAGGCTTTAAAGGTTCTGTAACGCAGGACATGAGAAGAAATGCCAAAGTAACACGTTATCAAAGTGAAAGTGTTTCAGTGAGTTATCAAGAGTATATGCATCATTGTCAAAGTTCATTACAATAATTATGTTTCAATCAATCCTCAATTATTGTTCAATGCAACACACAATCGTGATGTTTTCATACTAATATTCATTATCATCATAATAATCTCGTTATGATACCACCGAATTATACATCTTTTATCCAACCACTTCCTTTGCCCACATCGGAATATTCTCCTTTTTTGTGGGATCGTCCAGGACCCTCATATCTTCACCTCCATTCTCGAGTTAATCGACTCGTGAATCTGGATACGACTGAACGTGAGGTGCGCAAATTAAAATGACACTGGAGACGGATCTTTAATGCTACTTTACACAGTTCAAAGTGGTTGCTACTTTATTTTATATGTATGTTTTTCAGTCTTCATCATTTTCCTTAAAAAACAAATAATTTAGTTAGATTTAGCTTCTTGAATTTGAAATGATTGCATCATATAATTGGTTTACGACTCATTTAATAACAGTTACGGGATATCAGTCCATATTTTTTTGGTATATATATAAATATAGTCCACTAGTTAAAAGCACTTTTATTAGTATTTTCACTGTCACTTACATTATTTGTATATAATAGCGAACAAATACCCTACTGGTTGTTCACAATGAATTCACATTATATCGAGAGATAAAAATTATTTGGCGTGTCCATTAAATGTGTAAATAATATATAGGAATATTTCTATCGAAAAGATTTAAAGAGAATTGATAAAAGCTCTTTTTATTTTTAATCTCAATTTATTTTGAATAACACGAAAATCATGAAAGTATTTGAAATTTTCGAAAGAAGTGTGAAAAAAATTTCCTAAAATAGAAATTTTATTCAAAATCAAAATGCTTTCTAAAATTAGTCTCAATAAGCTTCACATTTTTGCGAATTTAGGGAACAAAGAAAGCCCTCGTCTTATATCACTGGATTGTTGTACACTATGATTAAAAACACTTAATATCCGTCGATTGTTGTTTCAAATTCAAATTTTTTCTGATATCCCATAAAAACAAAACCTCTTGTTAAATTCATGTTCGATAAGATGCAAATGTGTACTTCGTATTAGATGATATTGTCACAAAGTTATTTGATTTAAAAAAGGGATATAATCTCCTTTTTCAAATTCCCTGTAGAACAATTGATTTAATTCACTGCCAATTTATCCATTATTGTATCTTGAGCTTCTTATGATCAACAATTATTGTATTATTACTTATACATATATATAAAAAATTGTTTACACTCGTTATTCTAGTGTTCATGTGTGAATTAGACAAGAAAAAAATGAGGTAAAAAATTAAGGATTTAAATTTTAATTAAAGTAAGTTTTCTTTAATATTATAGTTTAATAATTATGATTAAATGAAATCTTCTTTTTTTGGGAAATATAGATACAAGCTTGGATAAATTATGTCTTTATCATATTGATAGACTTAATCGGCTTAGAAGAATATTCTTAAGATTATTTTATTTAATAATCTAGATGTTCTAGCAAAAAAAAACATATATAGTATATATAATGTTATTGATCTCAGACTTCGCAAATTTTTTCCAAAATATGCTACATGTTTATAAATAGTCTTGTGATTGTGTAGTGTTAATCGGAAGCTTTTGCATATTTTACAAAAAGAAAAAATAGATTTTTGTTTTATTCAAGTTATTATTGTCTTTATAGCATTTTATAACGTGATTTCAATTAGATAAACTGTTGAAATTCACAAAGTTTGGCATAAAACTTATATTAAAATTGATAAAAATCATCAATTTGTATAATATTGCGGGAATTGAAGAATAAAAGTGAAGTTTATATTGCATTTGAGATTACTTATATATCAATAAAATCCTATTTAAATATTTCAGAAATTTTCAAGATTTCTTTTAAATCTCTTTTTTTAATTAATTTTTTTATATTTTTAATATTATACTCTATAAATAACTAAAAATCTTTTGCTTTTCTTTTAAAAAATTATCAAACAAAATAAAATTAATTTAAAGAAAAAAATTTTTTTTTCAGGAATAATTTAATATTTTGAATGTAAATAAAAGTAAAACCTGAATCCGACTGTAGCGCTTCACATTGATGTGGTGAATTTCAGAAATATTTTTTGCTTCAAAATGGAACTCATACATCAATTGTTATGATTCCCCTTCGCTAAAAGTTTCCTATTCCAATGTTGTTGTATGTCAGATTCGCGGGTTGAAGGTCGTTGCTGGTGGGGTATTCGCGTACATTCGCGGGTGACGCCAGGTGACGTGAGGCACAGAAAATATGGCTGCTGGTTTTAGTGGAACGAAGAAGCAAAAGCTGAACAATTCCTCTGGCATTCAATGTGATGGATCAGCTGTGATACAAAATGGAACTATACGAAAATCTCTCATTGTTCATCCAGAAATGGGCTTCTTCTGCTTCGACGTACTCTACTGCCAGCTGCACCAGCTCGATCCACCAAAATCACCCAAATTTCGCAATGATGCATTGTAAGTATATATTAACCCCACCAATTCTTATGTATATATTGTTTTCTAACTCTTACCACCACAATCTCAATTTAGTACATGATAATTTTGTCTCCCTCTAACATTCTCAAATTTTCAGCCCTTTATTTGTAACATGGAAAATTGGAAAAGACAATCAACTTAGAGGTTGCTTAGGAACATTTAATGCAATGCAATTGCATGCTGGTCTACGAGAATATGCGGCGATTAGGTAATTAAAAAGATTCTCTTAATTTATCAATATAAATTTGTCGTATAATAATTCACATTATATTTTTTTCATAGCGCTTTCAAGGATCCTCGATTTAATCCTATTTCTCGAGATGAATTACCCAGCTTGCATGTAACCATTTCAATACTTCATCATTTCGAAGATGCTATGGATTATTTAGATTGGGAAGTTGGTGTTCATGGGATTCGTATCGAATTTCATGATGAGAGAGGAAGTAAAAGAACTGCTACATTTTTACCTGATGTTGCTAAAGAACATGGTAGGTTTTAATTTTTTAAATTAAAAAATAATTCAATAACTAAAATTAAAGCAAATTTTTTTATTTTTTATGATTAGGATGGGACCAGACTCAGACAATAGATTTCCTGTTTCATAAAGGAGGCTTTAAAGGTTCTGTAACGCAGCAAATGAGAAAAAATGCCAAAGTGACACGTTATCAAAGTGAAAGAGTTTCAGTGAGTTATCAAGAGTATATGCATCATTCGCATAGTTCATTACAATAATTATGTTTTAATTAATCCTCAATTATTGTTCAATGCAACACACAATTGTGTTGTTTTCATACCAATATTCATTATCATCATAATAATCTCGTTATGATACCACCGAATTATACATCTTTTATCCAACCACTTCCTTTGCCCACATCGGAATACTCTCCTTTTTTGTGGGATCGTCCAGGACCCTCATATCTTCATCTCCATTCTAGAGTTAATTGACTCGTGAAAAAAAAATTGTGTCTGTATGAAAATATTGTAAATAGAAAGTATACATTTTCTAAAAATTTGCTTTTTACCATTGCTACATCGAAGTAACATTAACTGAACATAGTTGCACTTCAGTCCAGTTTCTTTTGAGTTTTGTAAAAAAAAAAAAGAAAAGACAGTACCTAGCATTTAAAAATTGTTGCTCAAAGTGCAAATATTTATATAAATAGGCTAAAATGATTTAAGACAAGGTAGAAAGAGAATTTTTCTTTATTTTTCCAAAAACAAAATGTATGTAAACATTTTTTTAACTCCTCAAATTGAACTATAAATTAAATTGATAAAAATTAATTATAATTAAATAATAGTAATTAACTAATTTAGTTATTAATTTAATTTAAAAAAAATTTAGATCCCATTTTTGCGAATTTAGGGAACAAAGAAAGCCCTTGTCTTAAATCACTGGATTGTTGTACACTATGATTAAAAACACTTAATATCCGTCGATTGTTGTTTCAAATTCAAATTTTTTCTGATATCCCATAAAAACAAAACCTCTTGTTAAATTCATGTTCGATAAGATGCAAATGTGTACTTCGTATTAGATGATATTGTCACAAAGTTATTTGATTTAAAAAAGGGATATAATCTCCTTTTTCAAATTCCCTGTAAAACAATTGATTTAATTCACTGCCAATTTATCCATTATTGTATCTTGTGCTTCTTATGATCAACAATTATTGTATTTTTGTTTATACATATATATAAAAAATTGTTTACACTCATTATTCTAATGTTCATATGTTTAGACAAAAAAAAAATGGGGTGAAAAATTAAGGATTTAAATTTTAATTAATGAAAGTTTTTTTTAATATTACAGTTTAATAATTAAGATTAAATGAAATGTTCTTTTTTTGAAAATATAGATACATGCTTGGATAAATTATGTCTTTATCATATTGATAGACTTAATCGGCTATAAGAATATTCTTAAGATTATTTTATTTAATAATCTAGATGTTCTAGCAAAAAAAACATATATAGTATATATAATGTTATTGATCTCAGACTTCGCAAATTTTTTCCAAAATATGCTATATGTTTATAAATAGTCTTGTGATTGTGTAGTGTTAATCGGAAGCTTTTGTATATTTTGAAAAAAAAATTGATTTTTGTTTTCTTCAAATTATTATTGGCTTTACAGCAGTTTATAACTTCAAAAATATTGATTTAATGACAAAATATTTATGAAGTCAATAGAAATTTTAGGTATGTATTTATATATGTTGAAGTTAGATATGTTTCTCTGCCTGGAAGAAAAATGTTTAATCGAACAAATAGTGCCTGCAAACGTGATTTCAATTACATTAACTATTGAAATTTACCAAGTTTGGCATAAAACTTATATTAAAATTGATAAATATCATCAATTTGTATAATATTGCGGGAATTGAGGAATAAAAGTGATGTTTATATTGCAATTGAGATTACTTATATATCAATAAAATCCTATTTAAATATTTCAGAAATTTTCAAGATTTCTTTTCAATCTCTTTTTTTAATTTATTTTTTTATATTTTTAATATTATACTCTATAAATAACTAAAAATCTTTTACTTTTCTTTTAAAAAGTTATCAAACAAAATAAAATTAATTTAAAAAGAAAAATTATTTTCTTTTCAGGAATAATTAAATATTTTGAATGTAAATAAAAGTAATTTTATTAATTACAATTATACATACCATCAAGTTTTTTTGAATGGTTTTTTTCATAAGATAAATATTTTTCCTGTATATTGTACAATTGTTGAGCTTCATAATATGTGACACCAGCAGCCAGTATAGTTTGAAAAGAAAATAATATAAGGAGCGGCCTAATAAGTGGTTTATTAATAACCGACCACATTTTATAAAGTTCTTGCCATTCTGTGTAATAGGGAATTCTAATTCCAACTTTTATCGCTACCTAAATATGAGAAAATATAGTTTTTATTAATTAAAAAAATTTATTGATCAAGAATATAAAACTTTTTTGAAATATTCTCACCAGAGAACAAATTATGGGAGACACTATTAGAGGATATATTACCCCTGTACAGGTTTGTAATAACATTGCCCTCGTTTGCAAACAAACAGAACATGGAGTTTTATGAACAAGAAGATTTGATGTGATAAACTGAAAAATGTTTTTATATGTACATATCAAAAGATTTTTAGTTATTTTCATTCCTTATAACTTAGATAATATTTTTAAAATATTTAAGTATTCTTATTGAATTTTTAAAATACTGCACTAAAATTATAATTGAAAATAAAATAGATGTCATCTTGTAATAAAAAAAAATACCTTTGAATGAAAATACAATGTTACTAAGGATGTAGAAGCAACTGTACTGAGAAATGTCGATATATATCCATATCCAAATAATTTTAATTTTCTTCTATGATGTCTGCCAATGTATAAAGCTGTAAAACCAGCTATTGTTCCTAAACTGCCCATGCCATATTTAAAAGCCCATCTAGAAATAAAATATGAGTGTATTTTTTATAACTTTATGTTATCGAAGTTGAAAATAATTAAATAATCAAAATTGGTATTCTACTTTCATAGAAGTTCCTTTAAAGAATTTTTATTAATCTTCGATGTTAAATGCAAGAATTAAAGTTATTAAATAAAAAAAATATAATTCTTTAAATATTAACTTACACTTCCAATTGTGCCGGCCAGTTGTTTATTTTATTCCATTGATATTCAACAGCCTCTGACTCAGTTAATAGCACTGCATTTTTTGGAATATTTGTACGATGCAAATCTGCTTTTTGTAAAGACATTATTTAATACAGTCTTTTTTTTTATTTACTAAAGCATTTTATTTATAAATTACACGTTTAGATTTTTAGATCATGTAAATTTTATTTTGTCGTCTGCTATTACAGGAGTGGGTAGGTATATTAAGTTTTTTCAACAGTTCTTAATACCCAACCCTGACAGAATGGAGTTTCGCGCATGCGCACTAAAAATACCAAATAATAGTTTGCTACTTTACTTTCTCATCCCTGGTGAAAGTATACAATGCGCATGCGTATTGAAAATATATTTCAAATCTAACGTATTTTAAAAAAATGTCTCGTCCGTAAAAATGAGTAGTTCTTTTCTTTTAAGTAATACAAAATTTATTTATTAATCTATAAAGTTTCAGTTTGTTCAGTGTATATCTAGAATCAGTGCGAATTCCATTAAATTCAGTGAATGTGATTTTAATAATTTAACATTCTTTATATCGAAATACATAACCCCGTGATTTAATTTTGAAGACGGCAATTATTGCAAGGGAAGTAATAAATATAGGGAATAATAATAAATTATAATTTTTAAAGAAAAGAGGGTCTCTGAAAATGCAGATAGATGTCATGTGCGGTAGTTTTTTGTGCTGAGAAATAAAAAGAGAGAAATCTCCGTCATCATCAGTGGATGATGCGAATTATTTGAGGCAAAATTCTTTTGCGACGAAAAGGAAGGGTGGTTGGCGAAGCTCATGTGGCGACGCCATCGACCAATCAGACCAGCCGTCGCCTGTCAGTTTTTCGGCTGCTAAACTCGGGTGACGCCATATTGCCCTTATCGTGGCGGGTTGTGTTTATATTGGTTTCGTTTAGCACGTTTTTTCAATTCACCGGTTTGTTTATCGTGAGTGACAAAAAATCGTGCGTGTTCCGTGATAAAAAGTCGTCATCGTGGGCATATTCGGTAACAGTGATAATCGTGTGCGTGTCGCGTTTTTAAAATTCGTGAAGTGATAATATACAGTGTTTTCTTTTCCTCTGTGATTTGGAATTTTCAATCAACCCCTCTGATATTTAAATCAACAATTTGGAGACTTAGTGGATTTAGAAAAATGCCCGTCCGAAAACAAGGTGGTAAGCCAATTTTTATTGTACAATTTTTCAATACATATATTTTTATTGATTTGCACAATTCTGGAGTTTAATTCGCTGAGGGAAACAAAGGTGGAGTGCTTTCGGGTCACTTGGTCAGCTGTCATTGAGACCTGTCAATCGCAACCCCCTTCCTGTATTTATATTTATTTTTTTCCCCAACTCGTGTTACAAATAAAATTTTATCAGATTTTAATTCTTATTTATATGAAAAATAATTTTATTATTTTATGCAAATCAATTTTGCTTTTAAATTTTTCGTAAATATAGACTTCATTCATATAGGATGAATATTTTAAATTAGTGATCTAATTTTATTATATGGGGTTAAAAAAAGAATTCTGAATTTATTTTTGATATTTTTTTAATGAGACCATTGTTATTTTTAGTTCAGGAAGCAAAAGGGGTTTATAACAAGTGAAAAATGATTATTAGAAAATTTTATAATTGTTCAAATCAATATATACATACTATTAGAGAATTCAGTCTTTTTGATTATTGTTTTGGTTGAGGTTAAAATTGATTTTTAAAGGGAATGACGCAGTTTAAAGGGATGTTGAAAATTCTCAAGAGAAATTTCATTAAATTTTGTTCACTATTTATTTTTCACGTGATGTTTGAATAATTCATGTTAATATAAAATTGCAAAACTTGCTGAATATATTAAAAAATTTTTTAAAAATACTGACCAAAATATTTGAACAATTTTTTATTTTTATGTATTCGTTCATTGAATTTTAAATATTTGTAAATATTTTTATATATATTTTTTTATTAAAATTATTCTTATTCTGATTGAATATGATCGAACTTTTTTTTGTATAGTAATTAAATTTATAACTAAAAATAAATTATTTAACATGTAAAAGATAAATTAAATAAATTTATTTCAAACGTTCATATGGATTTAAATAACTTTTGGAACAATAATAAACACATTCTTCTTGGTCTATTGTCAATAGGAAGTATTTCCAGGTCACTGGGAAATTATTATAGTTTGCTTTGAACACAAAATTGAGACTATTGACTATCTGCCAATAATTATTGACTTTTCATTATTTTATTTAGAAGGTTAAAAGATTTGAAATTCTATTTTTATTTTTACTTTTATTTCTTGTAGAATGACGCAAAAGTTTGTTTTATAAATATATACCGTTAATTTTAGATGAAAGTGTAATTAAACTGCGATATATTATTGAATTAAAAGAAACTTCATTGCTCGACAAATTGCGAACTGAAAATTGCTTTTAACTGAGAAAAAAGTGATAGGAAACTTAAATAAGGAAGTAATTTTGTTCGCAATAATTTTGTAACTCTTAAACTTGACCTTTCCTTATTTTAGAACTTAGGTGCGTTCAAATCAATGAAATTTTTATAAGTTTTCTTATTTTTCTGAAATTTTGAAGTATAATTTTTTAAATACGATTAAAATTTTCTGAGGAAATTTTTTGTCTTTCTTTTGAGAAAAAGAAGAAACAAAGTTTAGTGTGCTGGATGGGGGGATGGGGTTTAATTTTGAGTGGTTTCGCACCAAGGCGTGTAAAGAATTTTTATTAATGTAGGCCATGTAAGTGTTGCAATAATCCATCGGATAGAACTACCGGCGTTTGGTTGACTGCCAAGAAAACGCAATAATTTCGGCATTGGCGAATGCTTTTACCGAAGTTATAGCAGAAACGACTCACGGTCACGAGGTCGAATTATATTATTTTTCTTTTTTGCAAAAATAAATTGCAACGTTAAATATCAATTTTTTTAAATGCGATTTTATTAATTTTAATAGGAAAAACATTTTTTTTTACCATATTGGATCCGCTATTTTGAATATTGAAATTCGATCAGGCAAAGGGAAACAAATTTTATTTTAGAAGAAAAGGAAATAGTTTTATTAATTGATGATAATTGAGGAGAAAAAAATGATTTGGGTGGGTGGAAAAAGTATGGCTTTTCCTATGACTAGTGTGAAGCTTTTCTTACTGCAGATATATATATATAGGGATAGAGATGGAGAGAGACTGATAATGAGAACAATGAATGTTAAGTAGAGCACACGTGAATATTATATAGTTGCCGAGAGAGTTGAGGGTGGCATTATGTGCAAATAGATTTCTGTCACACGTTCATTCAATGTTTCGATTGTGCATATATACAATCTGCGAACATCTTCAATGATATCAGAATATATTATTTTATGATCTATTAAAATTAATTCAAATAGCGTGACATGAAATTTTAATCACATTCACATCCCTCATTTTGTGCCCCAATATCAAATTTAATCTCTTCACATTGTATTTATTTTTATATTTATAAATTTCTCAATTCTATTTGTTTAGAGAGTTTTTGAATTTAAAATTTTTTGAAATTTAGAATATACAACCTTTTTAGTTTAAAAAACTAAATTTTTAGTGAAAGAAAATTTGTGTGTGAAAAGAAAAAACTTCCACTTTTAGTAACTTTGCTCGCCTTCCATTTCTATGTTGTATTTATATGGTCTTTTTTTCTTTATATAAAATCGATATACACGTTTAATATTTGTCATGACTGCAAATCTTGTTCTCTCAATTTTCTTTTTGAATAGAAAAAAAAAACAAATAGCATTAGTGTTCAACTAGTTGTGTACAAAAAAAAGAAAAAAAAAAAATGGGAACATAAACCAAAAAATATATGCCCTGACTAGTCGAGCAATTTTGAAATGTCATACACAAATTTTTTGTGGTATCGGTAGGAATAGTACTTTAGATAAAATTGCTTGATTTTACGTCTCCAATTCCGTTTTGTTTTAAAAAACAGTTTTTAAATAATTAATATTTTTTAATTATGTGGTTTACATAAATCTTTTTAAAATTGATATAAAAATAATATTAAAAATCTTTTGATTTGTGACTGACAAATTTTGTGTGGGAAAATTTTCAAATATTAAAATAAAAATAGGGTTTCAAAAACGTTTTTGAGGTTGCTATATATAAAATAAATTGAATAAGAGTTTTGAGTGAAATCCCCGCAGTTGATGAAGGAATACGTTGATGGAATATGTATCGGACTTAATTGATTTGATCGCCCTCACCGGAACATTAATGAACAACTGCGTACAAGCTTCCGGGAAGGTACATACCGATTAATATCGTAACATCGTTGAGAGACTCGATAGAATTATTCGTGAGCTTCATATTACCATAGTGATTATATAAACGTAATTTAATTCTATGTAAATTTATAGTATGCGTCCAAAACTGTTTAGTATTCTGTATTTTTTAAAAAGAGTATATAAAACGAAAATATTTAACTTTTTTTTTTTTATAAATATAGTTAAAAAATTCAGGTCGATCTATAAATCATTTGGTAAAGTAAATAATAATAGAGGATATTAATATAGAACATAAAATTTTATTGTTATATTATATGATTTCTTGATTTATTTTGATTCACTTTATATATGTTAAATTTAATTAAAGATAAAATATAGACTTTTCACGAAAACACAAATATTAGAAAAAAATTGTTCCCCTTATAATCGTATTTTTTATCCCATAAAATTCAAAATACCAATTTCATCGGAAATTAAAAAATTATTGCATATAAAAATAATGTTTAAAAATTTTCAAGTGTGAAGCTAAAGTTAATTGACACGTGTCAACAAGTATCACGTGGCACTGATAAATAAATACAGCGGATATTGGCAAATTGCCATATTTATGAACATGTCTCCCTTCCACTTCTCTATATTCGAAACTCAAAAACAATTGGCTCGTAACATGAAAAAATGTGAGGACCATATATATATATATTTGATAAATAAAAAAAATTACAGAAATATTTGCAAATTTTTTGTTAATATTTATATTTAAGCATTTAGTTAGTCATTGCCGAATTTTTTTTATATAAATAAAATAGAAAAACGGTAAATATTAGAAAAAAAGAATATTTTAACAATTTTTTATGTCACATCATGCGAGTATTTTTTTTACACAAAAAATCAGATGAATGCGTATTAATAATATATATGAAATTCATC